TGTCGGAGGAGGAATGGCTGCGCAAGTGGGAAATGGGCAACATCGGGTTTCACAAGGAGCAAGGGCATCCGTATGTGACTTCACTCTTCTGCCTAAGCCGTGGAAAGAAATGCTGTGGGATGGATGGCTTGACTCCTTCAAAAAACTCCTAACAGAAAATGACGCATTTATAAAAAAAAAAATTATTTTACACGGCCTGACAGTAAAATATTTTTGCGACCTGCATTTGTCAAAAAAAGGCAGAGAAAAGAAAGGATTGCATTGAATTTGGAACTTTTAAATCAGGCTTTAAGCTATAAAGCTTGGATAGCTTGCCTAAGAAACTTAAATTTTCTGACGCGGAAGCTCTGCGTTGCTGCTCATAAGTTACGCAACTGGGGCCTAAAGCAACGTGCGGAGGGCGTTGGAGCGGTTATTGTGCGCTGGGAGACAGGGACCTAAGAGACCAAACCTGATGATAGAGCCTTGCGATCAATGACACTTACATTTAGGACCTGTGTAAGTGATTTGATTGACAGAGAAGTTTGTTAACCATTCTGTTTAAGCCGTCTGTTGTGCCCCTCTTAGAGGTGGGTCGGTTGGTTGGTTTGCTTGAAAAGAAACAGAAAACAGAACAAAGAGAAATGTGTCCTTTTCTAACAGAAGTTAAATTTACTGTCTTTCGAAGCAAATGGGAAGTGAATATTTTTGTTCCGTGTTTGTATTTCTAATGGTATGAAGGAGGTTGAACTAAGAGTCTCTGTTCCGCCGTGGAGTTTGTGTCTTCCCTGGCCTAGTGCGTAGCACCTGGCTTTTAACGTGCCAGCGCGGAGGCTCGCAGTGGTAAGGAAAACACCTCTGTTCTCCTGCAGGCTCCTGCAGAAGTATCTGGATGTTCTTTTAAACGGCAGGAGTGGACTGAGGATATTTTTCCCGCTCTGTGGCAAAGCAGTAGAGATGAAATGGTAAAGCATGGATTATAAGAGCAAAAGTCTTATTTGATGTGGGGAGGGAGGGCGGGAGAAGGGGAATTCCCAACCTTGTGTTGGCCAATGGAAACGTGCCGCATCTCTGCTGGTAGGAAAGCAGCGTCACTGGAGGCTGAAGGGAGGAGGGAGTTTGGTTTCATTTGCTGGCGTTTTGTATAGCAGCACAAATGGGGTAGATAAGGACTCACCCGAAAGTCCCCCTCATGGCCCCAGGGTCAGCTTGGGGAATGCTGAGTTTGTGATGGACAGAGTGACTGAAGCTGTGCCCTTACCGCTGCTTCTTTTGGTGGCAGTGACAGCTTAAATTGCCTGCAATGAGGCCGGTTGTGCCAGAGCACGTTTTCACGGGACCATGTGGCACGTTACACTAGGAACTTAAGTGATTTGGGCTAAATATAACCTCCTCTTTTTAAAATTTATTATTTTACTTTTTTGGCTGGGTTATATTTATAATTTGGGGCTGTGTAAGCCAGTCTTTTTTTTTTTTTTTTTTCCTTGGAGGGAGGGCACACAAACCAAAAAACCCTGACTGAACTGCATCCTCAGGGGATTGGGTTAGTCCCAGTTACCAGGTTTTATCACGGTAACTCTACTTACTAGGCTGACTGCAGGCTCTGGCACATGTTGCCGTTGCGCTGAGCTGCAGCAGTGAAGAGGTTACCACACCCTGCTGCCTTCGTCGGCGCCGAACCGAGCCGCAGAGGCAGCCGGGTGGGCAGCGTGCCTCAGCCGCTGCAGTTCAGAGCAGAACATAATTCTATAATCCAAAATGGACAGTTTCTCTGTGTAATCACTGTTGCTTTCACTGAGTTCACAGAAATAAATGAATAATCTAAATAAAGCCTGGATGTCCTCATCAACTGTATGCTGAGAGGTGCTAATGTAAGCTCAGATCATGGAGGGGAGGTGCATAATAAAACGTGAACGCACCAGAAAGTCAGGATTAGACATACCAGTGCATCCTAAAACCAGGCTTTCCCTAATGAATAAATGCTGCGTGGGAGATACATGTCTGGTAATGGCCCAACCTGCAAGGCCTCACGTAAACTTGGGACCTCTCTGCTGTGTGCAGGCTGGCGGACATGGGACATAGCGTTGTCGGTGTGGAAGTCAGCGAGCAAGCACTGAAGGAATTTTTTGCCGAGCACAGCCTGCCTTATTGTGAGGAGCCAGTCCCAGAGATTCCAGGAGCAAAAAAGTTGCAGGTATGTTTCCTGCATTGTCAAACGATCTGGTGTGGTTAATCACGTAATGCAGGTGTAACTGAGCAAACGGGTCGTTCTGCTTTTATGCCTCTGTCATACTGGTAATCCTTCACCTCTCCTGAAGAGGTCTGAAAGGACGCTCTGAGTTGTAATTCTGGACTGAGAAGTTCTTCTTTTGAGTTTATTACTTTGGTCTTCTTTTCTTATGACATTGAAGCACCTGAATGTAAAGTAAATGTGTTTTAAAGTAAAGTAAAAAGTAAAGTAAATGTGTTTTAACAATCAGACGGTTGCATGCCTTGACAGATCAGAACCTCCCTGGAGAGGATCAAGGGAGGTGCCTCAGTAAAGAAAAACCAAAAATGTTTCTCACAGTTTTTTTCCCATTACATCTAAGTGTATATTTTAACATTGTGTGTGTTTCTTTTGAGGTATAAAGTATAAATACACACTTGCATGTGTATATTTAAAGTTAGCTTGCTGATAAGTATTCTTTCCTTTGCTTTTTATTACAGAGTACCTCTGGGAACATTTCCCTCTACTGCTGCAGTGTTTATGATTTGTCCAGGTAGGAATATATAGTGTGGTTTACAAATCTGTATAGTCAAACATGTATTAATATTGTCATAATACTGTCTTATTATTTTATTTGAATCGGCCATAAGGATTTGGGACAGGTCCTCTCAAGAAGACTCTTAGGAACTTGTATGAGAAATGTGAATAGCCAATCTCTGACAAAAACTCTGTTGTTGACCATTAGATAAAGATGCTGACTAAATATCTTTAAATGGGCTTCTTGTTGTAAGCCATTCTGTGAAAGTTATAGAAAAACATGTTTGCTTTTACAGTAAAAACAAATTATCTTTAATATTACTGATAGATTCTATGAAGCAAAAGCCTAGCACAATCCTTTAGTCAGAATAGCTTAGTAAAAGTAAAGAGAATATACCCAGAGGTGTCATCTTAGACAGCTTTTCCTTTAACTAAGTACCAAATATTTTTTTTCCCCAAGCTATCGATTAACATATGCATAGTTAAGCTGTTCCCATTGATTATATGTCCCATGCTTTACTTAACGTACTTTTCTCGGTGGGCTTAAAGTACATTACATCACTCCAGTGTATGTGACTACATAATATATTGTCAAACACGGACTCTGCAAGTGTCTTGCAAAACACAGCTCGACTTAACTAATGTCATCTGAAGGGGTTTTAGTGCTAAAACGTCCTTATTTCTTAGTTAAAAGACACAACAGAAAAATGCAAAATACTTCAATACAGTCTGCACTACTGACTCCGGAAAAATGTTTCAACCCATTGTGCTCTGTGGCCTCAAGCATTCTTCTCAGATTTTGTGGTGGCTTTGCACCTGACCACCTGCTCAGGTCTCACTGAAGCCATCAGCTAGCATATCCAGGAGCAAAAAGAATGTCTGAGGCAGTGGTAGACTGAGGCAAGCAGCAGCAGTGTAACTTAGCTTTTCTAACATTAAACAAATTGCAAGCTGAAGCTAACTGTCCTGGGCATGTAGCTAGGAGTTGAGGTGTCTAAAATTGTTGGTGTGCTGCGTTCAGTGACATTAAAGCAACGAGGCACCTTCCTTAACCCATGTTTGAAATCACATGTGGTTTTACACGGTGGCCAAGAACTATTGACGTGCTGAGAGCATGTTAGTGCTGCCTCAAGGGTCACGGCAGGGTATGATTGCCAAAACCCCAGACTTGTAGCCCAAATGTGTTTAAGCTACTTTCCTTCCTCCCCGCCTTCTCTGAGCAGCCCATAATGATGGGGAAATGGTGAGCAATTCCACCAACTCTTTGCTATCACAGCAGGGCCGTATGTGAGGCGGGGTTTCTTGGGAGTCAGATCATCCAGTTTGGGATCATGGAAATGCTGGACCATAACAAAAAGGTAGTGGGGAATCTGCGCAGTTAGCTGGAGAATCCTTGTGACTTCACAGAAGTATCCTAGTAAAGATGAAGGCGCTTTTTTAGTATTTTTAAGTCTTTTCCTCATCTCCCTATAGCTCAATAGTTGGCAAGTTTGATGGGTTTTGGGACAGAGGAGCTCTAGTAGCTGTGAATCCATGCGACAGACAACGGTTAGTAAATTTGCTTTGTTATTTTCTTTTCTCTAATGTATGCAGTGACACATGTTTTTCCTCCTGCCACTTGTCAGTGGCAGTCCTCTTTCATTTAAAGGAGTAACCGACACGAGTTCTTCTCTACCGCAAGCATCAGCTGCAGTCGCAGAGCGCTGTACTCTAGATTTGTGAGCTTCCTTCAGGAAGCCACCCGGCCTCTTGGTGGGAAAATATGTGGTTTGTTGCAAGCCAGCAGAAGCAGAGCTGCAAGTCTCATCTGAATTTTATTATTTCCTTTTCACCCCATCTGCTTCTCCTCTCTTTGTTCTTTTCCCCTCACTTCCCTTTATTCCAATTTTTTGTTCTTGCCTATAGCCAACCCAAATGTAGTTTGACCCTACCCCAGGATTTTTTAATTAGATACATAATCTTGAATGCACAATAATTTTAAAAGATGAGCACTGTATTGTGTACTGTATTCTAGACTATGGCAGATGAATACTACGTTTTGTCTGTTAGTTTTGAGATGAATATGCACAAAAAGATAAATGCTTGTTTATGACGAGTAAGCAGTGACCTTTGAGGTGTTTCATGCGTAGCATGAATTTCATGCTCATGAAATTCAAGCTAAGCTTTGCTTAGTTTCTGTGAAGTTCAGTTCAAGTTGTCTTTGCATAGAAATATGTTACCTCTGTTGTTGTTGAATATTTTGAATGCTGTGCTTGAAAGTTTGTACAGTTCCAAAGTAACGAAGTATACCTTTCTCCTTGTAGCTATGCCAGTTTGATGATCACTCTAATGGCAAAAAATTCTTCTTATCTCCTCGTTACAGTTTCATATGATCCAAACAAACACAAAGGTGAGAACTTTGCACTGTTCATGTTTTGATTTTGCATGCTTTAATACAAATTGTGTATAGATGTGGTATCTTCCCCAGGTTTTTTATCAGCATGGCTTTGTCAACTGATCACTCCAATCCAACTGCGTGTTAAAAATTTTAGATGTTGCTCAAGCTTGAGACTATATTTGCTTTTTCTCTAGCATTCAGACATGCTAGGGTAAGTGGAGGACAGACATGGTATATTAAGAAAGAAATGAAACTGGAAGTGTGGCTGTGACAAGGAAGCTGGAAGAGTGAATGCTTAGAGTAACACCCTGTCTGGCCTAGGGAGCTTGAAGCACTCCCAAGAACATTGGCTTCACTCTGTTTACCCAATACTTGCAACCCAACGTGTTGCCCATCTTGTGCTTCTTTCTCTCAGCCACTACCATGGTCTGAATATGCTTGGAAGACGTGAAATTCTGTAAAATCATCAAGTATTTTTTCCTTTTATAACTTTTATTACATACTGAAGTCTGAGAGGCATTTAAAAAGGTTTTTTTTAAATTATTAACTCTCAAAAGAAAGAGATTTCTTGCTGCTTTTGGGCTCTAACATAATTATCCCTGAAAAAAATAGGTCTTGTTATCATTAGCAACAATAGTTTAATTCATTGTTCTCCCCCTCACATTATTAAGCTTTTAGCGTTATTTATGCCATTGTAGTATAAAGAAGTTGTTGGCTGGATTCAGACAGTGCACGGAGAGCGGTTGTATCTATGGCACGTTCATGACTTCTGACAACGTGGCTGCCCTGGCTGCAGCCTGGAGATGATGCAGCAGCAACACTTGAAGCTGTTTGGTGGCCCACCAAAGTGCCACGAGTTCTTGGATATGGTGTTTTCTGGTCCCTGGAGATGGTGCTAGACACTGGGGCCCGATGGCGGGCCAGATGCTGCAAGTGACAGGGCTGCTGCGCAGCTCTCTGGCTGCAGTGTAAATGTTTGTTTCCTTCCCGTGTCTTCTCTCTCATGCGCCTCACCCATTTTCTTTCAGGCCCACCATTTTATGTTCCTGAATCTGAAATTAAAGGCTTGTTTGGTAAGTGATATTTCAGCAGACACCTAGGAGTTTTTTCCAAAATGCATCAACGTGTTTATATGCTTCTACCTCACCCTGTGACAAGCGATAGAGAGTAATTTGCTTCTTATCTAAGGGGTGGAGTCATGGAAAAATAACAGAAAATAAATACCATTTAGCCATAGGGATTTCGCTGTCAAGGAAAATTCTTAGCTTCTCAAAAGATGCAAAGAAGACCCAAGAGACAGATACTGTCTCTTTCCTCCCCTTGGCATCTTTTCATTGTCCCAGGATTCATACTGCACTCCATGATCTTGTAGCTGCAGTCTTAGACCAGTTTGAGCATTTTGTCTTTCTCTGCATCTCATCACCAGCTACCCTGGTTTTAATAGAAGGCCTCTGCATACCAGTTCTACAGGTTTCTGCTGTACTTTTGGAGCCAAAGAAGAAAAGTAACATGCCACACGAAAAAGATGCTAAATGTACAACTCAAATCCATAAAAAAAAGGAAACTCAGAATTATGGTGGGAATTTAATTTTAAAAGTTCCTCCTGATATGCTTTGATATTGCACTTTTAAATTTACAACTTTCTGAGACCCCTACAGTGTCTGTAGGGGCAATGTACAGTGTCCATTGGCATGGACAGTTACATCCCAATGCAAAAGAGATGGATAAGTTTTTCCCAGTGCACTTGTGCCACTGTGTTAGGGACTGTGATTTCCATCTGTGGATAAGAATCCCCTCTGCAACAGTTTGCATTTTTCAGTGACTAATCATTTGGTAATTTGTTACTCTTTCCTCCTTTTCAGGCAACCACTGTGAAATTAAGTGTCTTCAAAAAGTGGATGACTTCTCAGACAGACACAGGCAGTGGGGACTAGATTATTTTCTGGAGGTGCTATATATACTAAAGTTTGTAGCTTGATTAAAATTAATGAAAAGAACTTACCTCCCATCTTGCTTTCATTTTTGTCTTGCCTTTTAAAATGTCACCTGTTTTGAGGCACTCTTAAAGCAGGCTTCAGCATACAGAAAAACGCCTGTGGAACATTTTTGTCCATTTTGCTTACCAAAGTAAGGCCTCTCCCACAATAACCGCCTTCACTGTCTTGAGATGCATGTGGCTTTTCTTATAAACTCCATGCACTAACAGGCATTTTTAAAGTACATCTATTTCTTCCAGATCAATTCAAATCATCAGAGCTGGGAAAAAGAAATGTTCCTGTTCCTTTTTGGCTGTTGCCAGTTGGTGCTATCTTCACTGGCGCTCTGCAGGTCGGCCTCATCGGCTTGCAGCCCTGGGAGCAATGGCAGCTGCTGTTCAAATATTGTTTTCTGCGACGCTGGCCTTGCGCCAGGCCGGGGCAGCTGGGCAGGAGAGGTGGGAAGCTGGCGCGAGTCACTTCTCTCCGTCATGATTACAAGTCAAGTGACGAGCTGGCTGAGAGCGGGCAGGAACGCTCGGCAGCAGCTGCCAAGGGGGAACAATCGTCAAGCAGGAAAGAGAAGGAAGCAAACCGGATGACAATAAAGGAGAGAGCAGGGGGAGAAAATGTCCCTGCGGTTGCTCCTGAGCATGCTGCTCCCTCCCTTAAGGGCACGGCTACGAGCGGGCAAACTGGCACAGGGCTTGTAGGTTGAGAGTGTTCGAAGCAAACCTGCGGAGCTGCTGCGTGCTCTCACCTGAAGGCAAACCTTCCTTTGCAGGTCTTTTATCACTCCCGTAGGGATGCTGCTGCCATTTTTAAAAGTGACAAAATTTGAGGCGCTCAAACCCCTTTCTTGCCCTGGCCTCTCCTCAGCAGCTTATTTTAAAAAACGCTGGAAAGATATGATGGCAACTTTGCCTATTATAATGCACCAAGGCCAGCAGACGACTGAAAGCTATGGGGGCTTTTTAAAGTGCCGTAGTCCTAGAGTTGCAAGCAGGGGCTGGCGATTTTAACACAGCGATCCCCACGCTACAGCCCCTCGCACTTTGAGGCCGGGGCTGACAGAGAGAAGGAGGGATGCAGCCGGGGAACCAGCGGGGCTGCTGTTTTCGTGCGTTTTTCACTTCTGGACAGTACTGCCGCTGCCGGGTTAAAGCACCTCCTTCTTGGTGCTTTAACGGGGAGGGCGGCCCGGGGCCGCAACGCGCCCGCAGGGGGAGCCCGGCC